AAGGACATTTATGTCTTCTCCCATAGGCCGCAGTTTCCCCCAATGGGCAATACTGAGACTTGCAAGCACTAGGCACTAATAAGTGCTTGCTCTATCCTATGCAAGGCTCTAGAACAGATTTTTATAAAAGATGATTCCGTACCATTCTTTCAAATGAAAATGACAGAAACCCAAATGGGCTTAAACAGCACAACAAAAAAGGGCTCATGCAACTGAAAAACCAGGGGTGTATCTGGTAGCTTCAGGAGCAGCTGGATCCAGGGGGGTTGAACGAAGAACCAGGATTCAGCCCTTCTCCCTTCTCCAGGCTCTGCTCTTCTCTGCCCAAGATTTAGTCTCAGGCATGTGCTCCTCACATGATGGCAGTCCCAGGATCACCTCTTTCCTTCTTCAAGTCCAGTAAGGAAGAAATTCTTTCTCACCTTAGTTCCAACAAAAGTCCTAGAACTGAGCCTCAGTGGCTCGGCTTGGGTCATATGTGCATCCTCTCATGAATCGCATTGTTCAGGGAATAGTGGATGCTTTGGGTCCTGAAGCATTGTGCCATCCTCTGGAACTGGGGTGGGGTAGCCCCACATGAATCTCATGCACTGATGGTGGGGAGGGGTGATCCCTCAAAGGAAAGATGGGAAGATGCTGCTTTCAGAAGACAGAAACTAGATGCTGAGCAGTGGGCAGATATGAATGCTGGAATCGTCGCAGAGATCATCAAGTGCCAATCTGGGATAACCAAGAACAAGTCGTTCCTGCCAAACTGATTTCCTTTGATTGGGTTATTGGCCTGGTAGATCAAAGCAAAGCAGGAGGCTCATGAGTCTGGGATTCTGCAGGGTATTTCCATTTATCTTTGTGGATGCGGCAGTTATATGTGAGCTGAAGGATGGTGTGATCAGAGGTTTCCCAAGTGGATGAAAGAGAAGCTGACTTATTGTCCCAGTGCAACTTGCAGGTAGTGTAGATTGGGGAGCCACTGATATCTGTCCTTGATTCTGCCCTGAGCCACCTGTTTCGTAAGGACTTGATTGAAAGTATATATGACTTCCCGCTCTCATCTGGGAATGACAGGAAGCTGAAGAAAATATCAAGTCCCCTGCCTGACAGCCTCCACATCCTGAGATGGCTCCATATGGGAAAGAGGGATTAGATGTAATACAATGGAACGGAACTGGGATGAATTGAAGTCTCTGAATTTAAATTCAGAAAGCCAGTGACCCAGGGTAGATGGGTAACACCCTGTTGCTTGCAGCACCCATGGCAAAGACCTAAGGCAGTGTTCCTCAAAGCGAGGTTTTCAGACCACTGGCACCAGTAAAAATAGCTAGTAGGGGATGGTATAGGTTTGGTAAAAGCACAGATTCCTAGACACCTCCCCAGACACACTGAATCAGAACCAGGATAGGGCAGGGCCTGGAGATATGCATTTTAATCATCATCATAGGAGCTTCTGGCACATCTGCAAGTCAACAAAGGCCTCACCACGAGCTCTGAGGTCCCTCAGTCTGGTGGGCATTAACAGTACGATGTCACTGATCGACAGCTGACTGGGACTCTGCCCATGCAGTGCACAAGGCCATGTGGGCAAGAAATGTGCCAGCTTCCTTCAGGAGATGCCTTCAGAGGAGGGGTCCCGTTGGAGAGATCCCACAGTGGGGGCCAGTGTGTCAAGGGTGCCAGCAACAGTAGCACTGGAGGGAGAAGATCCAGGGTAGACCCAGACTTTGTGTTCTGAAGTAAAAGAAATGAAAGTTTTCTAAAATAACAGAAGAAAAGAGGGGGCAGACATGCTTGATGTGGCCCCAGAAGATGAACTCAATGAGGTGCAGATTCCTGCTCCCTTGAGAAGAGACATTTCCAGCCAGCAGAGCAGTTGGTGGTGAAACCTGTGCTCTGTCACTGGGATATTGCAAGGGGGCTACAGACACTTGCAGGAGGGTCCCCCCTAGGCAGGATCTGGCTCCTCCTTTCCCTTGGGTCTGGGGCTCAAGAGCAAAGGAGGTTGGAGATGTCAGGAGCCCTCCTATCTGGCCATCAACTTTTGTGTCTGAGACAAGCCCTTCCTGGCAGCCCTCCAACCTGGATTCTTAAGCAGAATTCAGGTGAGACGTCTACTCCCCTGTCTCCACAGGGTATCCCTGCTCTTTTTCCTGACATGGCCCTGAGTACCACTTGGAAGAGGACAGCTGACCTGAGACCTGAGTGACTAAAAGGAATCATCTATGTGAAGATCTGGGGACAGGAAAGCAAACAGGAAGGCCTGGAGGTGAGGATGAATCTGGATGCTGAAGAAACAGAAGGGAAACCACTATGGCTAGGGCACAAGCAGAGTTGCAGAGTAGGTAGGGGGCAGGTCATGCTGGGCCTAGAGGCTGTGGTCATCGCTGCTGCTTTCCACATATTTCAGTGGCTGCCTTCCAGGCATGTGGTAGGAATACACTCTCTTGTCCTCTTGGGTGGGCCCGCAGGGCCAGTTGTGGCCATTGAATTGGGAGTGGAAGTGTCATTTCTGGGATGAGCCATTGATTGCTGGTGGGTGTACTTCCAGAGCTCCCGTTTCCTCTCCCTCACCTAAGAGTGGCTGCTTTGTACTTGAGTGATGAAGATCTGGAGCAGTAGACCCATATGATGGATAAGTGAGAAATAAATTTTTGTTTATTTAAGCCACAGAGACTTGGGGACTGTTACCACAACATAATCTAGTCTATCTTGACTGTTACACAAACCATCTTATTCTGGCTGAAGAGAGAGGGCCAGAGGAAGGACCAGAGCAACCAAACTGAACAGAGGAGAACCTTTTCTTTCCTGTACCCCAAACCTCATTCCCAAATTCTAATCCCAGAGCAAAAACTGCAGGGGAAAATGTACGGAGCGTGGACATTGAAATCAAACCTTGCACAGAGTCATCTCAACTAACCTTGCAATCATTGAATAAGGTTCTCCCTGGGCATAAGGTACTTTCCTTCCCCAAGCCTCAGTTACCTCATTGATAAAATGGAGATAATAATGTTCATTTAACAGGATTTCCTGTGAGTATCAAACCAAATTATAAATGTAGGCAGACAGCAGAGTCCATGACACACCATTATGATATCATCTTATACCCCAGCCCCATTCCGTCTTTCATCCTCAACTACTTCCCTCCAGTGCCCAAATCCCAGTTCCTAATCATCTCTCCCTTATTGGAGGCCCCAAATGCAGGTCCTGCTATTGTTTCACCTCTCTCACCCACCTCTTTCCTGGGAGTGGGGTGGGGCATAATGCCAGAGGGAGCAGCCTAGGTACACTGCTCCCCCCAACACACACATATGCGCCCGCGTGCACGCACACACACACACAACACACACACACACTCTCTTGTTGGGTAGATTGGGGCCCCTTGACACTGACTATGCACAAGCAATCCCCAAAACAGAGTTCAAACCCCAGAGCTGGTGGATATTTGTGGACATCTTCATCTGGGCTCACATGAAGTTAATTTAAAAAAAAAAATTGTTTTAGTTAAAAATTTTAAATCAGAAAATCTCATATACTGATACAATGGCTTTTATTGAAAATTTGGAAGATGTGGCCCTACTGGGCCCCACCCCACCCCCACCCCCAAACTGGCACCTGGAGAAGAGCCAGCTGTGCCGGAGATGGGACCCTGTGCCCAGTCCCCAGCCCTGCCGTTGCCTCCTTGGCACTGAAGCCCAGCATCTATAGATATGTATCTGGACATTGGCTGGTGTTTTTCACAGTAGAGTTAAGAGGAAAGCAAAACATTTCTCACAACCCTTCTCTATCAAAAGTGGGAAACAAAAGACAGACCGAGAGAGGGCCTCGTGTTTCAAGAAATACAGGAGAGCTCATATCTCTTTGTGGAAGCGAAGACCCTTCTTATATCGCCCAGCATGCAGCATCAATTTATATTATCGACTGGCCCCTGTAGACATTTTAGTTTGCGACCGTGCCCTCACCCTTCCCATTCTCCTCCCGAGCCAGAGTAGGAACCTCTCTTTTTCTAACCACTCTCCCCGTGCACATGGTGCGTGTTTGTCATTTCTTTTCTCCTTCAAGGCAACCCTCTGTTTATTTTAACCAGATTAGGGAATGGGGGATGGGGAACAGGAGGCTCCTGCAGCGGTCGTTGCTGGAGGCTCTGGGAGACAACATGACTTGCCCAAGGTCACAGAGCTAGAAGGCGGAGGCTCCTAGACCCTACCCTAGATCTCTCTAGCTCCCAAAGCCCGGTTGGTTCCTTCACGCCCACGTCTCCGGCGCGGTGCGCACTCCGGGCGCAAACACCGCGCGCCCTGTCGGTTGCGCTGCGTCCTAGGATTGTTTTCCTTAGGTGAACGGTGCCGTGGGGTTAGAGAAACCTGGGGTCACTCTGAGGTCCACCAGGCTACGTGGCTGGGACTGCGGGTGGCGCCTAGTCTCGCCTACCCGCGTACCTCTGCTAGCGGGCCAGAGCCCGGGAGCTCTCCCGCAGTCCCCTATCCAAGCTACGGGCTGGGTGGCGTACCGCGGCACGCTGACTGCCTCGGAGAGCGGCCGGGAGGCGGGGACTGGGGTGGGCTGGGGATAGAGAACTGCAGCGGAACCTACCCCGGGCACCCCTGCCCCGGTCCTCTGTCTGCAGCCTGGCGCCGGGCCGGGGTCGCCGCAGCCCTGGGCCCCTCCCGGGCCACCTGTGCGCCGGCTGGCGGGCCCGGGAGAGCCCGGATCCGGAGAACCGATCCGCTCCGGGTTTCAGACTCCTGGCTAGTCCCTGGAGATCGCGTGGGGCGGTGGGAGGCCTCCCCGCCCACCACCCCAGCCCCTCCCCGGGGGAGCCTCGGGCATCGCCGGGAGGGATCCCCGGAGCTGGAGGGTGGCCCACTCGCGCGGCGCAGGGCGGCGGGGCCCCTCCTTCCTTCCCCCGCCCCGCCCTGCTGTCGCCCCGCTCCGGTGCTCCAGTCCGGATTTTGCGGCGCCCGCCGGCCGGCTCCCAGGCTGCGGGCTCAGCGCGGCGGCTGGCTCGGTGCGCGGCGCGGCTGGCGCTGCGCTCCGCCCCGGCTGCATTGCTGCGCTCCTGTTGCCCAGGGGAGCCCACGCGCCGCGTGCGCCCCGCAGCCGGCCGCCCAGAGGCAGCGCAGACCGCTGGCAATGGGCCCCGGGGGTGCCCGGAGCTGGGGCTCTGGGCTGAGGCGCTGAAAGGCGCCCTCTCGTCCGCGGGGCCCCGCGCCCGGCCCGCCCACCCGCCTGCCCGCCCGCGGCCATGGCCGTCCGGTCCGGCCTGTGGCCAGCGTTCCTGGGCATAGTCCTCGCCGCCTGGCTCCGCGGCTCGGGTGAGTCATGCGCGCGCTCTGGGGAGGCTTGCGGGGGACCGTGCGCGCGAACGCTCGCTGCTCTGGGGGTCCCTGATCCGCGCTGCCGGACCCGGCCGGGAGCCCCCGGGGGCCAAACTTTGCGAGGCGGGACGCGGGGGCCGCCTCTTGCTGCTGCGCAGCTTCCCCGCGCGCTTGCCCGGAAGCCTGGGTTCTGCCAAGTACAGGAGCAGCTGTCAGCGCGTGGGGCTGGCGAGTGTAGACACCCCACGCCTGCAGGCGGGGGAAGTTTGCTGGTTGCCCGGCCCCAGAGCAGGGTCGGGGGTTTAGATCAACGCCCCGGGGAGTCTGACTTTGCCGGTTAGCAGATTAGAGGGGTTTGACCACATCCCAAGTGCCCAGGAAATTGAGGAAGGGGGTTAAGATACCTCTTCCCGGCAGCATCTGTCCCAAACAGCTACTCACAATTCCCAGCTTGGCACCTGGCCTCTGCCCACGTCCGGAACACAGTGTCCTCCTCTGTCCTCGCCACACACACTCGCACACGCACACACCCAGGCGTGGAGGCGCATACACTAGCCCCCCAGCCCCTGTAGCCGGCACAATCAGAGCGCCAGGGCCCCTGACCCGCGCTGTGGCTCTTGGCATTCCTGGTGTGTGGGGGCCAGAGGTGTATGCTGTGGATCTACTACCGCGTCCTCCCCTCCCTTTCTCTAAACAACCCTCTCCCTCCCTTCGTGTCCATTTGGCCACCCTCTCCTGCCCCATAACTCAGCCTTCAGCCCACCTCCTGGGGGTGGGGGGAGTTCCCCTGCATCCTTTGTTTGCTGTCCCTGAGCTTCCACCTAGGCTGAGTTTTTGGGGGCCTCCTGGTCTGTGCCTGACCCCCGTGCACTTAGCAGAGCTGAGTGTCTATGTGTATGGCGGGGGGGGGGGGGGGGGGGGGGGGGGGGTGTCATTCGTGTGATCAAGGGAGCATGGAGTTTGCCCTAGCAATTCTTGATTCTTGCTGCCCTGAGACCCTGGGGGTGGGGGGTGGGGGTGCTGCTGAGCCTGGCCAGGCCATTGTTAATCCCAGGTGTGTCAGAAGGGAGCATTGGGTTTCCTGAGATGGGAAGCCAGACTGACTGGAGATGAATGAGTGAAAGCTCAGAAACCAGCCTGATGATTGAGGCTGATGGCTGTTTCCTTAAAGGGTCTCTGCATAGTGCATCCTGCATCCACCACTGCCTGGCCACCCTCTGCATCCTGCCCCCCTCAGTCCTCCCTCCACCTCATCCCATCCACTCTCTCTCCCTTTCCATCACCCCATCATCCCCCCACCAAATCCTCACTTTACCAAACCCCTCTGCCCCATGACCTCCCCTCCTCATCCGGACTGAGCTGGGAGGCTGCACTGCCACTGGGTGCGTCTTCATATTGCACACATGTGTGTGTTAGGAGTGTGTGCATCGCTCAGGGGTACGGGTTGCACCACTGACTGTGGTGATCTGGGGGTGTTCGAGCTCCACACACAAGGGAGGTGTTGCTAGATACCCAGTAGGGGCCAGGACATGTTTACTGAGTCAGATGCTTGCGAGAGGGCTGTGTGGTCATATCTGCATGTTGCCCACGTGAGCACGTGTGAGGGCCATGGGCTGCCATGTGTGCCCTGGCGATGACGCGGGTTGGCAGTGTGTGCAGCCTTGGTATGCGTGTGGCCAGATGAGCGTGTGTGACGGTAGGCCTACCGCACGTGTGTGACGGTTGTGAGCAGTGGCACAGGTGAGGGTGTGTAGATGAGACGGTGATGGGTACTGGTGAGTCAGGGTGCCGCAGCCCCGGGGGTGCTGTGTGGATTCCTTGGGAGGCTGTAGAGTGGGGGAACCGCATTCCTGGGTCTCGAGGCACCTTTTGGGGCCTCGTGTAAGGTTGCCGAGGGAGCTGGCCAGTGGGCACCCGTGCCACAGGGCTGCCCTGGAGCAGAGCCTGCCTCTGGGCATCAACTCTCAGGCCCATGTGAGGGGCTGCTGAAGGGCATGGGGCCCTTCTTGTCATCTCGGGCCCCTTACTGCTGGCCCCCACAGGCTCCGGGCACATGTGCCCAGCAGGCTGGCCCTGCGCTGACCCCGGCTCCTCCCACACCGCCCATTTAGCTCCTTGGCAACAGCAACCAGTGAAATGTGTCTGTGAGTGGCTGAGGGAGGGAAGGCTGGCCAGGCGGCAGGGGGCGCCGGGGGCCAGCACTTCTGAAGCCTCCTGCTCTCCAGGCTAAGTGCCCACCCTCTGTCTTCTGATATCACACAAAAGCCTGTCCCTTCAGCACACTTACCTGAGTGGGCCCTCTCTGTGCCCGCGCACACAGGGACCCACGTGTCTCACAGGCTTTTCCCATTCATACCCAGTCACACAGCTGGCACCTGCCTCCCCGCCCCTGTGAGCTGCACACACCTGTGTTTCCCTGTCTCAGATCTCTGCACTCCTGAGGGGGCGGGGCCCACGGGGAGCTGGATCTCCTGGAAGGTGGGGCCGAGGGGCATCACTGACTCGTGGCACTGCCCATCCTGACCCCAACAGTCTGTCCCAGTGGCTGCTTCCTCAGGCCCCTCCCCCACCATCAGGGCTGATCCTGGACCCCTCTTTCCACCCCCCACCCCCAGGCTGGAGCACTTGGTTGCTGGGAAGGTGTCTTAATTCTTCAAGGCTAAGAGATATGCTGCTCTCACTCACCTTGCCTTGGGATGGGGGTCTGCTCTTTGGGGTCCCCCCAGGCACCCCAGAAGAGGGCTGGCCCTCTGACTGGCCCACCTGCCTCTCCTTGCCTGTGCTGGGAGGGGCTTCCCTTAGGAGCCTGGGATTGGCATTGATCCAGGTACCAGACCCCCCAGCCAAGAGGCACTGACTGGCCTGGTTCCTGGTTCCTGAGCAGCCAACTTTGGCCTCAGCCAGGGGCCAGGACCCCCTGTCTTATATCCCTTCATCCTGCCTCGTGCTGCTCTGGGCTCCAGAGCTGCAGACTCAAGCCATGAAGTCTCAGAGGCAGAAGCTGCCCTCAGCCAGGGCTGGAGGACTTTTCCAGGCAAAGGCCCCAATGCTGGGCTTGGCTGCCACCAGAGACACATGTATACACAGATGCACACACACATACACACACACACACACACACACACACATAGGCGTGCGCACGTGCACACTGTCTCATGAACGTACCCAGACCTGCTCATTCCAGGCCAACCCTCTCCTGCAGTCCCCTCCTCCCAGGGGCCCTGCCGTCCCCCCTCCCCTTTTTCCCCCAGCCTGGGGCTGGAAACCTTAGAGTCTCTCTTGGCTCTAATCTTCTCCTTCACGCTTCATGTCTAATCTGTCGCCAAGTCCTCCAGCTCAGCCCTACTTGTGACTTTGCTCATGTCCCTCTCCTCCTTTGTCCCCTCCTCCGCCAGCCCTTTCTTCCTCACCTTTCTCACTTGGACCAGTGCAGTGGCCACCCCCCACTCATCCCCCTCCTGTGCCTCCTCCACTTAGACTAATGCCCCTTTTACCCAGGCTAGAACCCACTAGAAAACCTTCTGTGGCGCCCCAGTGCCAGCAGGTAAAGTCTGAACCCTGAGCCCAGGAGCCCTTCGGAAACACCTGCATCACCACACATCCCTGGGCTGATGTGTTGGTAGGTTGGGCGTCCTCCCTGGCTCTGACTGCCGGTGGGCTGGGCATCCACACCCCCAGACAAGCTCTTGCTTCCACACACTGTACTTGCCTTGCAGAACCTGGTGCCCCCCCCAGCCAGGCAGCCACGCTCCCCATCCTATACCCCAACATCCTCAGCTCTGTCCAGATCCAGGCCAAGCCCCCCTGCTGCCTCCAGTCCCCACTTTTCTGCTTATCTCAGCCCCCAGCTTCAATCCAGCCCCCTCCAAGAGGCCTCCCCAGCTCCTCCTAAGACCCATGCAGGGGTCACGACACACTGAGGAGCTCTGAGTGGGCTACAGGACAGAGGTACTGGTTCTTCAGCCCTGGAAAGGCACATGGGGCCTGGGGCAGCTGCCAGAGGCATCTGGCCCGAGCCACCTCCTCATTCACGCCAGTGCTTCCCACACATATTGCCACTGTCTGCGGCACTGCGACCCGGTTCTCAGCCCCCAGTGTGCTCCAAGTCACAGCCAGCCAAATGCTTATTTTTTCTCTTTATTTCCTCTGCTTGAGTTCGGGTTCTCTGGATAGGCAGGGAGGGCTCTTGCAGCTGGGGAGAAGGAGAGAAGTTTGCTCTGTCCCCTCTGCAGCCCTCCTCATCCCTCCTCATCCCCGTGCCTGTACACAGACTGCCCTGCTCCAGGGAGGCTGGAGATGGCTCCTGTCCAGGGCGGGGACCAGCTAGCTGACGCCCCACACACGGATGGCAAACCAGCTCACGGGAGCCTGTGTGAGTCCCTCACACAGCTTTGCCAATGTATGTAGAATAGGAATCTCCCTGCCCACCCGCAGCCCTCCCAGGCATAGATGTTCCCAGGTGGGTGTTTTCTCATGCAAGTAATGTCATCTGGCCCCCAGACTTGCAGACTGAAGCCCCTGGAAGGTAGGGCCGAGGGGCACCCAGCTGTGGCATTAGCCATCCTGACCCTGACAGTCTGTCTGGGTGGCCCTTCCTCGGGCCCCACCCCCATCCTCAGGGCTGGAGTTGACACCAAGACCGGCGGCTCTGTGGGCACCTACCCAGGGCTCCTAGCTCCTGAGGCTCAGCCCCAGCAGAGCCCAGCCCCTGGGCCCCGACCATCCTCACCACCTAGATGGACGCCCAGCTTCCTGCAGTCAGTTCTGCTGGCTCAGCCCTCCGTTCCTCTTGTCTGCTCCCATGAGAGTGGCATTGAAGGGTCCTCCTGCCTTCTGGGGAGGCTTGGCCCCCTCCTCCTGTCAGGTCTAGTAGAAAGCGCAGTGCTTAAGAGGCAGACAGGCCCGGTTTCAGTCTAAGCCACCTGACCTAGGATGAGTAACTTTTACTCCCCAGCCTGTTCCCACCTTTGTAGAATGGGGTCACGTCTGCTTCCTGA